TGGCTTTGGTTTCTCACTGCAGTCTGAGAATTGCCTATGTCGCCCCTTGCACCATTGTTTGCCAGAGCCCAAACTGATTGCTGTCATGTTCGGACTTACATGATCATGGGGCACACTCATCAAATTACTGCTTGGAAAGTGCGGTTAATCAAAGTGTCCATGTCAGTTGGTGCCAGTTCACTTTGCAACTCAAATGTCAAACGAGGGTTCCCCCAAGAAGGGCAGATTCCCCTACAGGGAGGTACGTTTGAGATTTGATGTGACATTTCAAGAGTTTTCAAGCCTCTAAGTCCCGAACAGAAACGTTCACACGCGATTGGGGGAGATGCATCACCTCCGCCCCCCCTCCCACTGCCGACCCCAATACGGCCTTGTTGAGGTCAGATTCCAATATTATTTGCATAAAGCCTGGAATTCGGGGAGGGGACGGGAGGGATCCTATCAGACAAAGCAGAAACTGGGCGCTCACGCATTCGCGCTCGAGCCCGGGCACTAGGAGCTGGAGAAGTGGGTGAAGGCGGGATGGATGCTTCGGAAACAAGGGAATGACCCCCAATTGGGTCTGTCGTTTTGGGGGCTACATGGGGTACCCTTTTGTGGGTTGGTCTGAGGGGAAGTCAAGGGGGAAATCGCCATGTTTAGGGTCCCCTATTTTAAGACACGCCCAATTACGAGCCGTTCTTTGTGGTTTCCTTCAAAGGCAATCTTTGGGGCGGGTTGGGAGGGTACAAATTTGGTCTTGCCCCGGCCATGGATACCTGTTTCAAAACACTAGTTGGCGCCACCCATGTAAAGCCAAACCCGAATGAGGAATTTTCAGCAACGTGTTCTTTGAAGCAGTTTTTGAACACAGGTTGCATGCGCAGATCCTGGACGTGTCCACCGCTTGTGACCTCCAAACATATTCCAAGACTTGTAGGGAGCTCAACCTCGGCGCTTTGCATGCCCAGAACTCCGGGGGGCACTGGGCGTGTCTTGAAATTTGCACTGAACATCTGTGGTTTGCTTTTGATATTCCTCTAGAACTGTCCAACCTCTTTTGTTTACCCTTGGAGACAGACCCAAGGGTTTTTCTTGGATGTGCAGGGGGGGCACAATCTTAGGTTTGCAGATGTTGACTCCCCAGATGTTTGCTCTCCCGAAGGCTGACATGACCCCGTGAAAAACATGTTCTCGAGAAGCCAACGGACCCCATGAGGTGGAGTGGTGCAAGCTCTACGACGTAGACTACATCGAGCAGGATGGCTGACCCGGAGTCAGGTGCTTTGCTAGATCCCTACTAAGAGACACTTAAGCCTCTTTCTAAACCCAACCACCATTCTCACAGGTTACTGCTGGGGTGTGCTTCGATCTGCAGTTTCTTGCCATTCAGAAGCGTTCCATTCTTTGAAGCCGTGTTTGCCAATGCATCTGTTTTTCGGCTTGCATGTTTACACTCCGCTCGGGTCCGCATTGCCAGCGTTACAAACTGCTCCGTGACGAGGACATCATCGGGAAACTGCAAGGCTTCAGCGACAAGCTGAAGGGTGTGGTCGAGGAGGCGCGTGGCCCTGTGTTGGGCTGTTGCCAACTGACGGGAGGCTCCTGCACCCGGGGACGCCTCCGGAGTGTTTTATTTTCTCTTGGTGCCCTGTATCCCTCACACATATCCAAAAGGTCAAGAAAAACAGGTTCCCTTCCGTCCAAGCAGGTAGGGGCCATGAGATACACAACAACATGCTCTCCTCATTCTATCCTTTGCACAATCACCCACAACTGATAGGTGCGATGGGGCCCGGGTCCAGTTGCCGGTGTCAACCACCCCTATGCCCGGCTCCTCCATCCAAGATCCCTAATACAAACGAGTTCCGCTTTTTGCTTCTCAATTATATGACAGTACGGAAACTGTGTTTTTGAACATGCGCGCCGCGGCACAGTGGCGGAAGACCGCGGAAGCTTCGAGGAAGGGTTTTGTCCGCGGAAGCTCGCGGAAGAGTTTAATTTACGGCGTATGCTTGTTTGTGTTGACATTGTAGTCGTTTTAACAGGCAAATGACACCGGTGCCAGTGATCAAGCAGTCTTTGTTGAATGAAGAGATTGGAAGCCCCAAAAGGTACAGGTTGATTGGGGCTGGTTCCAACATGTTCCAACTCAATCCGCGTTTTCTTTACCGCTCCTTGTGGCGTTTTTGGTTATCTCTTGTTTGCTCAAGGCACCCTCCACGATGCATTACTCCTTTTCTTGCAGATGAACAACGGCCCCCTACAAAGCACGCTTGCTTGGAGCCGGCATCTTTTTCCCGATCATCGGGGATCCTGCGATTTTTGGTGGAACACGGGCCCCGCGAAGAAAAAAACACAACGCGGCCAGGTGGAGTTCAAGGCCACGGGCACCATCAAGGCGCGGGCATATGGCGGTGGCTCGAGCGGCCGAGTTTTCGCGAACTTGAGCTCCTGGGCCCAAAGTGATCGCGGGATTGGGGTTCTCATGGGGAGGGAGGCGGGAGGCGGGAGGCGGGGGGAGAACTGTTAGAGAAGTCCTGAAAAAGGGAGGGAATCCGAGTCTGGAGGCAACTTCAACTTGTTTGCTTTTGTTGCCACATGTTGTTCTTCTTTAAAGGAGGATCCTGCCAGGCCCCCACTATACACTTGCCTGCCTTCTATCTACCTGCGACAATTCCAGAGAATGTCCAGAGCTACAGATGCTACAGTGACTCCATGCGATATCATGGTTCGAATGTGTGAAGATCATGTCAAACCCGATTCAATCCCGATTCCATCAAGAATCCTTAGACTCCAGACAGTTCCCGCCATGGCCTGTACCACTTACACTCCAACTTGCCAAGCACAATTCGATTTGGAACTGTTCCCGCGATGTTTAGAAGTCCCTGGGACGGACCACAATTTTTCCCGGGTCTGTAAAAGTGTCCGATCCTCACACGTGCCATGGTCCAAAGACTCGTTTACTTGGGGTTGGTCGGGATGGCATGAAGCTCAGAATAGGGATTTCAGACAAGTAAAGCTTTCCATTTAATGGCCCACGGGTTAGGAGTTTTGACCGTAGCCCTGGGAACCCGGGCATGGGACCCCCAATTTTTGGTGGCTTGACGTTCTTGCGAGTCGAGACGACCTCAAAGCCCCCCAGCCCCAGTGGCGACCTAGGCGGATGGCACGGACCTCAAGACGGAGCGGAAGGCCACGGCCGGGCGCCCAGCTAGATGGCGTGAGCAGGGTTCAGGGGTTTATTGTTCCTGTAGGGTTCCCCGTGTGCCCTAAAACGGTGGTTTTAAGCATCACCTCTTGGGCCAATTTAAAGTGAGTCTCCTGGTGTGATGTTTACAGGCGACCATTTGAAGCAAACACCAAAGAATCCTTCCCGGGAGAAATCCCCCCCGGGTAGGTCTACCTTGAGTTGCTCAAATCCATGGGGTTCCGATTTAAAAGCTCAGAAGTTGAGCATAAAGCCCCAAGGGAAGACTGCAGTGTCCTTTGGTTCGCGGGGGTTCGGTACGGAAGTTGCAGACGAAGTGTGTTCCGTGGGTAACATCAACTTGGGATTCATTCGGACGGCCTTGTTTCTAACGAAGGGTTTCCGCATAGGTTATTCACCTCTACCGGAAAGTGCCCACCTCCGATTATTCATCCAAGGTATGCTCATCCGAAGGAACCGGTTTGGGCACGGAGATGGGGAATGATCATGTTTCCCTCGACTGGAATGCCTTGAGAGTGCGTGTCAGAAATCATCAATCTCTAAATTAGGGACCGGACAACCATCCCCAGGTTGCCTTAGTGGAGAAACTCCAGAAACTTCAGCTCAGGAAGCGCCCTAGCTTCGTAGGGGTTCAGCTGCGTCCCACATCTTTCATTGCAACATGGCAGGTTGACTGAATGCAGAATCTCTTTGGGGACCGGGACCTTTCTTTGTTTCTTCGGCCAGGTGTCATTTGTTAGGTGAAATGTTTCAAGCTTGATCCTTCTACCGTGAACCCACCCCTTTACCCCACCAGGTTGATTCATCCGGCCTCCATGCCTCGCATGTGGCAGCGCCGAGGAGTTCAAGCCCTTCAACCTCACCCGGCCCAGGCGAAGTGAGGGGTAATTTCAGAAAGGCTTTGCTCGGGGAAGGGATGAAAGCCTGACATGGCAACAAAAGGCCACATGCGGCACAAATGGCATCGGGCCAAGGCCAGCATAAGGCCAAGACAAGGCTAACATAAGGTCTCATCTCGGGGGTTTGGGGGGGGCTTTGGTTAGGACGGCGGTTTGAGTGGTGGGGGGTCGAACGAGGGGTGGAGAGACCGATGCTGTTTTCTCAGTGGAAGCTACCAGCCTTAGGGGTTATTTGGGCTGCAACTTCACCCAGGATGAAGGTCCCCTGGACTTTTTTGTTTCCGGAGGGAGGAATTATTGCAGTTTGTCCAAGTGTTGTTATCCGCTGCGAAAATCTTTCAGTAGAAACGGTAGTTTTAGCAATGAGCCCCAGTTTGAGAGGCGGCGAAGTGGGTGAAAGGGCAGGAAGGAGCTAGAAAATCAGAATAGGCGAATCCATGCGTTGTGCCCTGTCCAACGAACCTGCAACGACAGCCACTGCACAGATCACATACCAAGGTGAGTGTTTGGAATTGGGGAGTGCGCCAAGATTCGGTTAGTGTTCCCTTACGAACTCTCCCCAAGTTGAACCCCCGTGTGTCTGGATGGTGCCTTTTTACATGTGCTTGTGCTTTTTTCGTGGCTCAAGTTGCACCTGAATTCAGCTCACACTTCTTTATTCTTGAGTCTTCTCCGGATTCCCTCAAGGAATTCGACCTTCGGATTTGTCTTTGCCCAACGAAACATGTTGCCTCCACTTTTGCGGAGCGCCTTTCGGACCAGCCGGCAACCCCCAAAACCACACCCCTTCAGGGAACCCTGGTCAAGTTTCCCTTCAAGCGTGGGGGGACCATGTATGTCCCCCAGCTCCACAACCAAGTCCACAAATGCACCAGGAGCCCCAAGCTCCAATCCACCCAAAAGCTCCAGCAATGGATCGCCGGAGCAGCCGCGGAGCTGCCCAAGCGCGCTGGAGGGCTGCGGCCGCGCTGGCGCAGTCGAGGCCGATGTCTGGCCTCGTTATTTGTCGTGCCGGACGGTACCACCCGGCTGGTGATGCTCAAACACCCCAGGAATTTGAGAAACTTGGTTAGTAAGGTGCACCCTTGCACATGGCCGGGGCTCTTCTTTTTGAGGTCCTCATGTAGAGAAGCCATAATTATGTCTGCCGAATTCTTTCAGGTCTTGGATTGCAGATGTCTACTTTACGTTAGTGTGGTTGAAAATAGATGGATTCCACTTGTAGGCTGGGTTTTGTTTATCCATGCTCCGCTGCTCTGCAGACCTTCAGCGGTGCGTGGGTGTTTCCCCCTTGGGTGGGTTTCTCTTCAGCATCGGCCAGCCAATTCAAAAAGCACCAAACCTTTCCTCCCTGCCTACTGTAGTTTTTTGTTTTTTTCAAGGATCTTTATCTTCAAAGGGTCTGCAGCTTTTGAACGTTGTCTTGGGTCTTCATCGTTGAAGATCAACTTGGAAGCATGACTTTTTGGGCGTTTGAGCGCGAATTCTGGTCCGGCGATGTTCAAGACGAACTTGAAGGACGCCAGTGTTCTTGGTTGTCATGCTGGTTATGCAGAAGCCATTTCTGAAGATGGGGCACCAATGATACCGGGATCCTTTCCCCGCCTTTCCCTACCCCATCCCCCATCCACCTCAGATCACCCCAATTGACCCTAGCTTACGTCCATGGCATGCAAGGTTGAACCTTGGTTCAGCATGTTTTAGCACTTGTTTCAACTTTCAACCATCTTTTGCCCGACCTCCGTGCAAAATCCGGCGGTTGAAACTGCCCGTTTCGCCGGCAACCCTCTCAACAAATACGCAGGGCGCCGGGCCAGCGCTTTTCTGCCCCTCTGCCGGAGCGGCCGCTCTGCAAGCGCTTCGCGCTGCCGGAGGGGCGCCCTTGTCGCACCGGTTTTTGTCTGGCCCCTTTTTCGTTCCCCCTTATGAAAGGCACCCAAGTAAATGGGTAAAGCGAAACACCCCGAGTTGCTGGCTTTGACCAGCCTCAAAAAGCCGTGAAGATAATCTGAGAAGTTTGTTGGACTCCTTTTTCTTTTTCCCATTGGTTTCTGGGCCCAACCGAGGTGCCCCTTCAAAGAGGACTGCACTCACTTGCACACGGTGGACGGCATCACAGACATCCGCGAGCCTTCGGCAGCCTCGGAGGAGTCCGCGCGGAAGCCGCGGGTGTACTTCCATAAGATGGAAGACCGGAAGGCGTCTTGCCGCAGTGGTCCTGTTATGTCGTTTTGGAAGGAACCCCTTGTGAGAATCTGGAGAAGATTGCAAGGGCTGTTTTGCATGGACTCCAACGTGTTGCTTTTAATGGCTCAAGATCACCTGAACGAATCATGAGTCAGAGTCAGAGTCGTTCTCCGGCAAGAAACACAACATCCACTCCACACCCTTTTCTCCTAAGCCTTACTTGTTCAGGACCCCCGGCCCCCAAGAACCTCTTTCTCCATTTGCGCATTTCACTCCCGAACAAGAACATGAGCATAAAGCAAAACTTCCACACTCTGTCTCTCAGTCTTTGTTGCACATATCGTTTTCTTTTATGCATCGTGTTTCTTTGTTTGGTTGCTTTTGCTAGGTTTGTTTTCTCCTCTCTTTTTTTGTGGGGGAGTCAAAACCCAGTTGCCCAGTGGTGCCCTTTTTTCCTTTTTTTTTGGTAAGGGTTCCCCTGTAAACTCAAGCAACAAAAAAAGGGCGTCCTTTTTTCCCATGGCCACTGGGCATCTGAGAGAAGGAAGGAGTTGATCGACAAACTTTTCTCGCTCTTTGCGCAGGTGGGCAGGGGCTCCATCTCATTGATTTTTCGGACCTTGGCCACCGGGGACTTCCAGAGAGCCGAGGGTGTGGAGGTCTGCGACCTGCTGCTGAGCAATGCCTTCCCGCCCCCAGGCGCGGCACCGGGGAGGGGGGGTCGGGAGGGGGGGGAGGGAGGGGTGTCCCGTGGGTGGTGGGGGGGGGGCATGTTGGGGGCGTTTGAAGGCCACAGGGCTGCAGAAAACTCTTCATGGAAGCCTCAAGGGATGCTCACAGAGTCGCGGACCAACCTGGAACTTGCCAAGTCGCACGAAACGATCGTGCCACAGGTGGCTTTCCACGAGAGAGTACTTGAAGGCACCAGATAGAAGAACAGCTGCAGTGAATTCAGGCTGTGAACTTTGTTCTGCGGTTTCTACGAGAGTGGATTTGGGCATGTACGACAATGCGAGCGAATCGGTCCCTCCAAGCGGCGAAAGCCGCTTTCATCCTGGGGGCTGTTCAAAGGCAAACCTCAATCCTTCCCTTGGGCTTTGCCAATCATGGTTTAGGATTGGCCATGCCTCCAATGTGAGTAACCCAGCTTGGTCCGGGTTGCTCCAAGCCTCAAAACGAAAAATCGAGGTTTCAAGAACATCGTAGTGGCTCGTGTTGCTTTTGCCCCAACATTCTACCCTTGTAACGATCGGTTCTTAGCACTCCGGTAAATGGGGCTTGTGTCGTTGGAAAGCTGACGGGTTGAACTCCCCGCAAACATGTGTTGATCGCCCGATCGTGTGGATCTCGCGAGCCAGGCCTGCTGCGAAAGCTGCCGAGGAACTGCACCGTGAACCACTTCCCTGGGGAGCACGTGCCTGAGTTGAGACCGAGACCTCTGGTGCCCCTTCAAAATCAACGACCGAAAAAGCGTTGCGTTTTTTCCCCATCGCACTGGAGGTCTGGGATAATTTTGCACCGCTTCACATGAGCAGAAGACAATAACAAGGGGTAGCAGTTTTTGAAGCCCTGTCTGTGATGCAGTTTGGGCAGCATAGGTTTCCTTTGGTAACAATGCAGGTACATCCTGTGGTTTATGCACATGCCGTTTAATAGCATGGACAAGCGACCCGACCAGAAATCTGAGCGTCCAAATTGTTGGTTTCGCGTGAGTTGTCTTTTGTAACAGACCTGTTTGGGAATTTGGACGTTTTGTATGGGGGTATCCAGAATTTGACAACTTGACACATCTGCCTGTCTTTGGCAACCAACGTGATCATAGTGCCTTTATTGAACGCACCCTGTACTTGGGTTTGGTAGGGATGGTCATTGGCCTCGTAGTAGGGGTTTCAGACAACCAATGTAAAAGTTCCTCTTAGAACCCACTGACCGTGGCCATAAGCTTTGGACCTGGCTCATGTGCCGTCGATGTGGTTGGTTTCCCTTTGGTTCTAATCATATACCAGCGCCATTGCGTCTTGCGATGTCTTGCGAAACCACCTTCCATTTTTCCAGAAAACAAAACCATTGTCCGTGTTAGGTAGCTTTTTTCGGGTTGGTACGTTCTTTGTGGTTGACCCAGCGGTCCGTTCAGGCACCACGCCTGGATGAACGATGTTTGAAGTGCATTTCCCGGCATCTCTATTCTTTGCAATCCAAGAGTTCTTTTTCGTGGGAAGGTCATCTTACGCCGAATCCAAACCTTCAAACTTTTTGATCCCTGGGAAGACCAATGCAAGGAGTTTACTACTCCCATAATTTAATCCCCGAGTTAACAAAGGTAAACAAGACAAAACACACAAAAGCAACACATGCAGGGAACAAGCTTTCTGGTCGGCCTGACCCTTAGTAGAAAGAGTCAGTAGCTGATCAGGCAAAGAATTGTATTTCAATTAACGTGTTTGGCCTCCGAGCATTTCTATGGTACGAGCAGCTGCTCAGCACATGCGCGCCTAGCCTTCTGATGTCAGGCGCCTCCAAACGATCACGCAAGACATCAAGAGCGCATTCAAAGCCTTCAGCGTTTGTTGATTTTTGAAGGCGTTGGAGCCTTGCCTTCTTCTTGACTCATGATTTACATTTGGCTTGATGGCTTAGCTTGTTACGCGCCTAACATGTTTGTTCAGGCTGTTACATGGCAAATGGCGCAGCTTCCAGCTTCCAACTTTGAGGTACAAATGATTGACATAATTTCGTAAGTGTTTCTTTGCAGCTTTTTTCCCTATGAATATTTACATGACCAACGTCATGGATTGTTATATGAAAGTATAGGACAATTTCAACCTGCACAGTGATAGAGGCTGACGTTCAACCTGTAATGACTTAATTTGCTTTCGAGGTACCCCCCCCCTCCACAACCACATTCTGATTATTTTGGGCCGTAATTGCTTCAAAGGCAGATCAGTTTGAACTTTAGATGTCAGAATTCCCTTTATGTGGGTATGTAAAAAGGCAATGTAGAATGGAACGCAACCCAAGCGGGGGCATTGTGCCTGGATCCCATCGGCTGAGGAGCTTTGCGCGAAAGACCGGATGGCGCGGCTGCTGCGGGGCCAGCCGTTTCTGCCGCCCAGCTTCGTCCTGCCGGAGGAGCTGTGGTCCTGGGGTGGTTGGGGGTCTTCATATTCCTGGCCTCTAAGTGGGTCCACGGGATAAAATCTCATGTGGGATCTGGGTGTCAGATTTTTTGTGGTTCCTTGACCCATTTCCTGGAAGCTCTGCTGGCAAAGAGGATCGAATCTGTTACTGTTGTTGAATTCCTTGGGTGTGGAATTCCACTTGAAGCTAGCACGCCCATGAAACGGCCCAGCCAACCTGCTAAAAAACATACTAGCTCCCCACACACGTACCACCTCGGGTCGCATACATCCCGCTGTTTAGGTTTGAGCAAGCATGGTCCAGTGGACCCCCACAAATGGTTTCGGTTTCGCTTGCGTGCGAGTGTGCTCTGGTGCGGTCACACAAAGGGACTGGCATGCTGAGGTATTTCCCAGGAGACATCATTCAACGCATACCCACCAGGGTATTTCTGATTTTAAGTGGAATGGTAAATTCAAGAATGGGCAATGGGACTCCAACCAAATCCATCTGCGAGTTGGGCAAAGCTGGTAGCTGTTTTAGGCCAATAATCCATACTTGTGTGCGACATGTTGCCCATTTATCTCCCCCCCATTTCGGGTTGGTCGTATCCACATTTTCTCAAGGTGGGGGCCGCTTTTCAGTTTGCACTTCCATACTCATGAGGGCTAGGGGGGAGGGGGGGGAGGGGGAGGGAGCCCAACAAAAACATTATTAAGCCCTTAATAAGTCCTTACTTACGGCTTATTTGGGCTCCCTCCGCCTCCCCCTCCCTCCCCCCCAGCCCCCATAACATACAGGATCACAGTTGTGGGAAAGATTGTATTTGGCTCTTCCATCCAGCCTTTGGGTGTCCTTGGGTGAACAGGCCGACGCCTTTGCTGGCTGATGAGCATCGGCCATGTGTCAATCCCCACGCCAGACCTTGCCTGCTGCTTGGTCTGATTCCTTCTCTCCCTTTTCCTCCAGAGAGATGTGGGTATGTGTCAAGACCGCCCCCCTCCTCCCCCAAAATCATGGAGGTTTTCTTTGAATTTCCCTTCAAACCAGCCCCAAAAAAGGGTACCCTCGCAAACACACGCGGCCAGATGTCACGCAAAGCCTCAGGAGCTGGGCCTTTGGACGGCCGCCCGGGAGCAAACGCCGGACTGGATCCTGAAGCCCTGCCAGCGGCTCGGTTTGGGCGAAAGGTGTTTCCTTCTCTTTGTGACTTAAACGAGTGTCATTTTGGGGGGTTTGTGGGTGGGGAGGGGGGGCGGGGTTGTGCTTGAGGGGGGTTTGTGGTTGGGGGGGGGGTTGTGTGCTTGCGGGGGGGTTTGTGGTGGGGGGTGCTGCTGCGAAGCTCAAGGAACCTTCAGAGCTTCTAACTGTTCAACTTCCAACTTTGCTTCGAATCTTGGTTTGACCTCCCAAGCAAGGCGCAAACTCTTTGGCGGGCTCGCCAAGGAGTATAATCAGCCTGCCAAATGGAGCAGGACTATCAGGGTTGAAAAGCAGGGCGAGTTGAACTTTCCTGCAGATTGCAGATGGAAGCCAACAGGCAACAATGGGACGTTGCCCAGAAGACTAGTGGATTGCCACGTGAACAAACCGCGTACCAAACACATTCCATCGTGAATCGAGGAAATGCTGGCCCACGGGATTTGTTGCCACGGCACGTGTACCAGGCCCGTTTCAGTTGGCGAAGGGTACCTTTTTTTCCGTCTTCTCTTAAAAAAAAAAAACAAAACACTGTGACTTTGACTGGGAAGGGATAGTCATCAGATCCCAACCTCCCACCCTGCTTTGCTCTTCCCCTCAATGAGACCCGGACTCACAGGGCTTACCGAAACAAGGGGAAGGATGGGTTAGGGGAGGATTTTGTGAGCCAAACCTACCCTTAGTGTTGACCTTGAATGAATGAAGCGGTAGATATTCGCTTCGGCATGTTGCCCGCGAAGTGATCCAAGTCACTTTTCTGGGCTGCACCCCCCTCAATAAGTCAATCATTTGCTTATTGATTCTGGGTTTCCATCAATCCAATCGGTTGCTTGTTGACCCAATCCTGGTATTTTGAGAATGGGATGCAGCCCAAATCAAGACCAGTGACCCAAGTCGAATTGGAGAGATGTCCTGTCAGGCTGGGCAACTGAACCACTCGCTCGATGGGTTTGATCGTGACCCAACAGTGGAGTCCCCGATCGGCACTGTCACCCGCTTGTGGCCTTGTAGCCCTTTCAACTTGTTGGGTTGAGTTTGGCTGGACATTGATTCGCGAATCTTTTGACGCGGGCAGGGCATGTCGCACCATCAGGGTCAGATTTCAAGTGGGAAGCCTCCCCTGTTTGTCCCTTTTTCCTGAATAACCGGTTCCCATAGTACAGGCCTCATTATTTCACCACTGTCACTTTCACCCCGTGAGTGGTAGACTAAAGGGAAACAACGACTTTGAGAACCCCCGGAAACTGCCAAAATAATGACGGGGAGAAAAGTACAACTTGTTTCTACCCAAAATTGAAGAACGTGGTTTTTAATTGTTTGGGGACAAAAACCCAAATCCACAAGTAAAACATCACTCCAGTGGTAGGCTGTGCCCATGGCACCGCTGGGCCTCCTCGCCTCCCGAGGCTGGGCGAGGGCCGCCACATCCACATCCTGGGCCCCGAGGGAGCCGCTCCGATGCTTTCGGCGGTGGCGTCGAAGTACCTGGCGGAGCCCTTGCTGGTGGAGGGGCGCAAGGCGGGGACAGGGAGCCCAGTCAAGGGGGTTCAAGACAGGCTTTTAGCGTTTGTTTGTTTTTTGTCAAGGGGGGGATGGGCTGTGGGGAGCCAGGTGTGGGGATAATTTCTAGGGACCCCTACATGATTTCTATTGATTGGATGAGGCCCTGTCCGGAATTGCCAAAGGTGCAATTCGCGCGTGGGGCGATCCACTTCGCCCCTTGTTCCGACGAGCCTTCAAGGATGAACACCCCCCGAGGATAGAGAATTGTTGGTTTCTGTGGGTTTCCTCTTCACGAGTACCAATGTTCTACCGTGTTCAGGATGAACGTCAGCAACCCTGTCGAATACAGGTCTGCCTTGTTTATGGCGAGCTCACCGATCAGGGGGTACAAGCGAGCTCAACGTGGGTCCTTGACTTCCGCATCCAATTCTTATTTTAGGTTTTGGAATCGTAAAACTTTGTTAATGTTGAAACGCATGTGGAAACATGAACTGTGTTTGAAATGCTTGACCATAATGGCCCCGGCCATTTTGGCTCAAGCCTGGATATTGGGTTCTCTGAACCCAACTTTGTGGAAAAACTTGAAAGGTAGCACTTCCGAAACAACCCCGAACCAGCAATGGCCTCCTCAGCAACTTCGGCAACGTCCTTTGAGTTGATTGAGGACCAGGCACTCACCGCGGAGGAGGTGGAAATGGCCAGCCAGGAGGCCCAGGAAGCCCGCACACGCGAGGCGGCTGTGGCGGCCGGCCTGGTGTTGGATGAGCCCGAGGCGCCCCCGTCGGCATCGGCCACCGATGTGATGAACGACCTCTCCAGTGCACTGGAGCGACTCCGCGTGGCCTTCTCCACACCGACTCCCGGCCTGGGTGCCCCTGGCCCCGCCGAGGACGAGGACACGGAGATGAGCGATGCGGTCACCACGGAGCGGGCTACTCCACCGAAGAGGCTGAAGGGCTCCGGCCTCCCAGACCCCGGTGAACAAACCGGTCTCCCTGGTACCGGTGGATGGCCGTCCTGGCTATTTCAAGCTAGTGGACCTCCCAGACCTCTTCCCGGTCCTTCCGGCATCGGCGGCCACGTTGTTGAGGGACGTCACGGTGGAGGAGGCGGTCTCCCTGTTCCACAAGTTTGTCGGTAAGAATCTCACGGAGGTGGTCCGCATCCTGGAGGCCTATGTTCCGATGAAGATCCAGATCCGGCAGGAGGAGGTCTGGGCCTCACAGTTCCAGCGGAATAAGGCATGCATTGGCACCCAGCGGATGCACAGACTCGATGCCGGCCAATCGGACTACAAATTCATGTGTAAGGCATGCGGCACGGGATGGCCGGAGGCAGCCAATCAATGCTGGGTCTGCCCGGGCAAGGAGTTTGTCCCCTTCCAGGCACCCTCTGCGACCTACGAGGCGGACGGCGTCACGTACAACCTGCTCATTGTGGAGGGCAAGCCGACCTGGATCCAGCAGCGGGATGGGGGAAGCCTGGGTGCCTCTGGCCCCGGTGGTACCCGGGCGCAGGCAGACCGCAACCTGGTGGACGGCACGATCCTGGGGAGAGCTCCTCCGAAAACGGACACGGCAGAGGAGATCACCATGGCTGATGTGGTCCCGCTTAACAGGCGGGTGGATATCCGGCAGGAGATCCTGTCCATGGAGGCGGACGATGAGGCGTTGAAGGTCCGGGAGCGCCAGGAGGTCAAGGTCAAGGTGCAGCGGTCCTTGCAGGAGGCAGAGGCTCAGAGCTTCCAGCTTTACCACCCCCAGGTGGACCAGGCGATTCGGAAGAAGGAAGAGCTGCACAAGGCCTTGAGGGAGCACCGGGAACCGACCCCGGAGGAGTCATCGGCCAGGCAGCGGCACAAGGAGCTGATCACGCATGAAATGCTGGACAATGAGATGGCAATCCTGGCGCCTCTCCAGGAGGGCATGCAGGCCCTGCCGGCAGAGGAGGTGGCCAACGAGGGAGCCCGAGCCCTCAGGAAGGTCAACCTGGAGCGGTTCAAGGCCAAGCTACGAGATCAGTACCTGGAGGGTAAGGGTGTCGACGCCAGCCAGGCACTGGCTGATGCAATGGGCTCCATTCAGGAGGCGCAGGAGGCGAACAAGCGCACCCAGGACACCAACCAGGCATGGATGCTCAACCACCCAGCCCTTGGAGGTGTCGGCATGGCCAGATGACCTCAGACAGGCTCTGGAGAGGGGGCTGTTCTGGTTCTGGAGCTGGATGACCCCAAGGACATCCCCAACATGGGGGACATCAAGGAGAAGTACGTCCCCTACATCCGGAGGCTCAGAGAGGCACAGAACCCGTGGAACCAGGAGGCGTTGCTGGAGGAGATGCCCGATCTGGCGACGCCGGCCCCCCCCAAGGGTGCCACTGGCCCCGGGGAGGACCAGCCAATGCCACCGCAGGACCTGGACACGGAGGAGGGGAAGCTGTCCCTGCTCCTCTGGGCGATGAAGAGGCACCAAGGGGAGCTGCGGATGTTTGGGGGAATCTGGAAGAAGCATTCCAGCGGCGAAATCCCCAAGGGCGCGGACCAGCAATTCAAGCTCTCGCCGGAGGAGCTCCTGGCCCTGGAGCGCAGGACCCACCCACTCACGTGTGAGCGGGACCACATCGACCCGATCATCTACTCGGCCTTGGAGATCCGAGCGCAGGTGAACCGGGGTGAGCGCCCGGCGCCGGAGCAGGTGGTGGGGATCTTCTGGGCTAAGGGCGATGGCGTGTTTTGGACAAGGCAGACTCGCACGTGGGACCTGCCGAGCTTGACAGGGGTGTACGCCCACCGATTCACCTTCAAGTACATCTACTCGGCGTGGACCACATTCCCACTGGTCGTGAAGACGCAGCGACGGGGCCGCAATGCGGAGGGCTCGACTTCGGATAAGTGGATGGGGAACATCCTCCAGATGCGGAAGGAGGCGGTCCCCTTCCTGGAGAGCCTGGGAATCCCCAAGCCGCGCACGAAGGCGGAATGGAGCTACATCTTTAAGGAGATGGGGACGTTTCTGGCAGCCAAGAACTTCATCGTCAATTGCCCGTTGCCGGTGATGGAGCTCCCAGTGGCCCCTGTCCACGACAGCAAGGAGGCCCTGCGTTTCAGGGCGGTCTGTGACGAGCGCATCACGCTCCCGCTGTCATCGTTGAGGGCTTTTGACTCGGTGTACACCAAACTGGTGGCAGGCCTGAGTAAGTCCTCCATGGTGGAGATCAAGGTCAACTGGCGGTGCAACGTGGTCCATGACTGGGTGGAGCCGGTCCCGCAGGAGGCGGCGGGGGCCCTGTACGACCGTCTGGGCTACTCCCAGGACCTGATCATGCAGCTGGGCTGCTCCCCCCCCTTGGGTGCCTCCGGCCCCGGGGGCGGGGCGGCCAAGGAATCGGACCCCAAGGCCAAGATTCTGGCGGGAGCGGACACCACGCTCCGCACGCCGGACCAGGGCACCAGAAGGTACCCCCCGATCACCACGTCCACGGTCACGGCACTCGCGGGCAAGAAGTACACCAACAAGCACTTCGTGGTGGGAACCAAGCACGTGTTCTGGGCCTCGGTGGAGTGCGGCCTGGTCCTGCCCAGCATCAGCGCATGGGAAGTGGTGGGCAAGGAGAAGTTCAAGACCACCGGGGGCTACATGTGCAGGTTCTGCAAGGGCTTCTGGAAGGCGAGCCGTGGGGGGACCCGGCTGCTCCAGATTACGGGGTGGCACAAGGACAAGGCCACCTGCCTGCAGCTGGTGATGGACGAGCCCCCGGAGCAGCTATATAACCAGTGGATCCGGGACAGGATGGAGTTCTACAAGCGGGTGGAGCCGACGGAGCCCCCCAGGGACGAGCGGCTAGTCCTTGGAGATGCGAGCACCCCGCGCATGCGCTTCAGCTCTTCGAACGGCCTGGGGGATGTCTCCACTGCCCTGTGGTCGGTCATCCTGAGCAACCCGGAGAAGTCAGGGCTGGCGGCCATCCACTCGGTGGCAAAGGAGGCGATCTTGAAGGGTGAGAGCCGCTAGGTCGTGTCTCACTACCCTTTGGATGTGGCGTAGTCTGTTCTTCCCCACCGGGACTTGGGTGCCTCTGGCCCCGTCTTGGGTGGGGGGAGGTTTTGGGGTGTTTTCCCTTCTTTTGGGGTTCCTTGTTCACCTTGGTTTCCCCCCTGTCTCAACACGCCACGACTGCCGGTTGCCTCGAACCGGAGGCTGCGCAATTCGGTTGCCCCAAGGACGGGCCGTATCGGCCACTGTTTGAAGAAAGTGGCTGCGGCCGACTCTGGGTTCCCTGAGGTGCCCTGGGGGTTTTGGGGAATCCCCCGTTGGGCTGGTCTTCCCCCTCCGTGGTTCCTGTTGGGGATTTCCGGGGGTTTGACTTTTGGGCCCTGTTGGGCTGCGTGTGGCCTGCCTGCCCCATGTGCATCCGGCATACTGTGGGGTTGAAGCTTTCGTGCAGTTTGCCGCGGCTGGGTCCCGGCCGTTCGATAGGAGGCTCGAACCCTTGTTTTCAGCATGGCCAGGGTCTCCACACGGTTTCTGTTGCGCCCGCCTTACACTCGTCTTTGGGACCGGATCCCAAGGGTCCTTTGGGACACGCTGGCGGATGAGTCTATCTCCCCGAGACAGACGGACGGGGAGCTGCTGGTCCTGATGTGCCTGCGCCATGGCACGGCGGAGGAGGGGAGGCAGCTGGGCGGCCCTCCGATTCGCTAAGCTCCGAACTCTCGGGCATCCCGGTGGACCAGACGGACCAAGTGGTACCAACTGACTACTTCAACGGCCTGGTGGCGTCGGCGGCGGGCAGGCTTCCCCAGCCCTTGTCCGCGGGGGACCTGGCCGACCTTTGGGATAGCCTATGGCTCCTCCTCATGGCGGCTGCGGACGGCAAGAACTTTTCCCCGCTGGAAAATGAGTGGGACCGCCAGGACCAACTGAGGTGGTTCTCGCGAGATGACCCACCCCCACTACAACAGCCGGAGCTTCTGAAGTGGCGGCATTGGAGGCCCGGGAAGATCAGGGAAATGGAAC